TTCCTGAAGAAGCATTAAGAACACTCATTAGCAATTAATGTTCTGCAAACTTAAGAGAAAAAAAAAATCTAAGAAATATGATAAAGAAGACATTTGCTAGGTGCCTTCTAAGATGTGCTAAGTGCTTAGTCAGGACAAAGAAGCATCTAACTCAATTCTCACCCCACTCGCTCCTAATGAGTGCAGACTGAGAAGAGTCTCTGAGAATATAATATAAAGGGCCATGCCACCCTTATGAAGGTTAGAAGCTTCACAGATTAAATTAGCAAATCAATAATCTCTTATGTTAACACTTCTGTTCTTAACCTAATAATTTCATTATTTAACTGGTGGCTGCTATAATTCTTCAGAGATTATTAAAATATTAAAGCAACAGGAAAAGTTGGAAATTGGGCTGATGTTTACTCTTTCTTTCATGCTCAAAACTGGCTGCTACATTTTTAAATCTCTAAGATGTGCTAAAGGTCCGTAATAAAGACAGTTTAATATACCATTATGTGCCAATATTCTGATTACTGTAGGGCATCACTGTAATTTATATTGCCACGCACAAAAACTCAGGTCAAAACCTGATTTTTTTGTAACTCAAGAATAGTATGCAGTTAGTCATATAAAAGGGAGCAAGCTTTAGTTAGCTATGTTATTTATTCAGAGTGGAAGAAATTATAGTGAGAGAAGCAGAGGTATTTTATTTAAAAAACAATAGTTCAAAATAAAGCTGTTTAATTTCACTCCTAAGTATATATCCAAGAGAAATGAAAACATGTATCCACGTAAAACTTTGCATACAAATGTTCACAGCAGCATTATTCATAATAGCCAAAGACTGGAAACAACCCAAATATCCATCAACTGATGAATGGATAAATAAAATGTGGTATATCCATAGCATGGAATGCTATTTGGCAATAAATTTGGTATGAAATACTGATACGTGCTATAACATGATCCTTGAAAACATTATGTTAAGTGAAAGTAGCCAGAAACAAAAGACCACATATTGCATGACTTCATTTATATAAATGTCCAAAATGGGCAAATTACCTAGAGAGACAGAAAACGTATTAGTGGTTGCCTAAGAATGGGGGGGGGGGGGGGGGGGGGGCGGAGAAGAGAATGGAAAGTGACTGCTACTGGGTTTCTTTTTAGGTGAGTAAAATGTTCTAAAATTAATTGTAGTCATAGTTGCACCATTTTGTGCATATAGTAAATTCCACTGAATTGTATACTTTTAATAAATGAATTATATGGCATGTAGATTACATCTGTTAAATAAGTGAAGCTGTTAAGTTGCTTCTGTCTACACTGTTACTGTTGCTCTTCTTCACTCTGTAGGTGGCAATATATATTTTTTTAATCTTCATTCATAATGAGGATGGCTTTTCATTTTAAGAAAAGAATCATCCTTTTCCTGCCAGCTAAATGAAATGACAAATCAAGGTTTCAAACTTAACATGACTTCAGATTAATGAAAATTAACAGTGTCTCTTATCTGGAGAGCCAGAGCAGAGCAGAGCATCTTGCCAAGAACTCATACTCATTAAATCCAGAAACCATCAGGACAGAAATCAGGAGGGCAGCTGTGGGGACTGAAGAGCTTGCTCATAGCTGTAGAGGTTCTTTTGCACATATAGAAATGTCTAAAATGTACTCTACACAGCTGCAAAGTATCAAGAATACTATAAACACATACAAGGTAAGATCCACCATATACTCCTAACAGAAATGCAGAGGCAGCCAGTGGGCGGCTCCTTACAACAGTGCATTTTGAGAGGTGGTACAAGTGCTGCCTCCCTTAAAGGTCACACACACACACACACCCTCCAAGGGCCTGTGGGACAATGCCTGCAATCTCCATCACTGAAGTCCTTCAACCCTGTGCCTCCCATAGGTCCTTGTTAAGGTGAAAAGATGTTGCCTCAGAGCAATAGGACAGTGAAAGCCTCAGAAAACATCTGTAAAGATAATTTTCTGTGACATGTCCCTGTGTCCTAATCCTTTAACACAGAACCCCTGAGCACCACACCACAGGCTCCTAAAAGCAAGCAGCCAGTACCAACAGGTGCCGCGGGCAAGAACTCAAAACTCATGCCATTCCCGACTCTTGGGTCCCTGGGTCCTTACTTTGGGTCCTTGCCCTTTTTGGTGACCCGAATCCCTCCCTCTCCTCTTTCCCTACCTCCTCTATGGCATTTCTCCATCGTTTCGGTTTTACTTGCTCCCTTGGGCTGTTTTCCCCTTGTGCCTTAGCCCAGTTTCCACACACACAGGCTTCGAGGATGCTACCACACTGAACTAGGCCAAAGGTAAATGTCAGGACCCAAAGGAAAGAGCAGAGGCTTGACAGAATAAGAGAGACATGGGATGGGGACCCTGGGGGCAAAAAAATGAAGAAAACTGTCAGCCACACAGGCCATTACCTAGGCAAAGCCAATGGCAACACAGGCACCATTAAGGCACGATAAAGCTTACATTGGTCCTGCGAAGGGGGATTATTTCACACCACTCTGCCCACTTAACAATTATGTCCCATTAAGGGAAGTTTAGGGTTAATGTCAACCAACAGCTTGGCCCATATAACCTACAAATGTTAATATTTCTAGCACAAGGATACAGAGGGTGCCCACTTTTAAAGGGTATACATCTTTTAAGAAAGGAAAAAACTATATTAAAATTGTAATACTCAGTATACACCAGTAACAAAAGATGAATACAAGTCATGTATATACATTTTGGGGGCACCCCCGGTATTAATTAGAAAGACAAACATTTCCTTCCAGTGGGATTTTTCTTTTTAGAGTTAAGTGTACCCTAGTTTGAGAAAGGTTGGTATTTGACTGTTTATAAACCAGATAAATTAATCCATTTTTCCCTTTCTTGGCTTTACAGAAAAGTTCCCAGATGAAATACAAATGTGATTGTATAAAGCAAAATTATTAGGCAGTTTCTGCTTAGACTCGAAGTTGACACACAGGGACGGGGAATGCCACATGGCCTTCTGGGGAAATGCAGTCTTTTCGGTCAATTCCTAGGGACAAAGGAGCGTACTTCTCAACAGAAAATTGGAACATTCTGTTACTAAGAGCTCTGTATGTGGCTCATCATCTATAAAAGGCTGTTGTGTGCAAACTGAATTACAGAAATGAGGAAGAAATCATCAAAGCACTAAAACGGTGACAGTAACACGGATGGGGGCTCAGGTCTCCTGGGTACATAGCCCAACAGGAATCAGGTGACTGCATTTGGGAGGCCTAGGCTGCTTTCCATGTTTAGTCTCATTTGGAATGCTTTTTTTATCCTTTTAATTAGGAAAGGGAAAGGGGACCAAACACTGCATCTTGAAACCATTCTTGGTACTTTGAGACCTTCCCATGGGTGGCTGAACACACAAGTGTTAGAGTGATGACGCGAGAGGCAGGGACTAAACACGGGAGGCTGACAGGCTGGGTACCGCACTTGGACTTTACTCCAGGTGTAACAGGACGGCTTTAAGCCAAGCAGAGACATGACGCAAAGTATGTTTTTAGAAGATCACTCAGGAGACTGCTGGGTGGTAAATGCTTTCTGGTGGGGCAAAAGTAAACGCAGAAAGACCAGTGGGAAGGGCCATCCTGCCCTGGTGAGGAAAGAAAAGAGGTGACCTGGCCAAGTATGGTTTCAGCAAATGTTCCTGAAATAAAGCCAACAGGACTTGCTGACAGACTGGAAGAGGAAGGTGAGAAGATACAAATGAAGACTCTGGAGTTGAGGAGCAATGGAGGTCAAGAAGCAGAGGCTCTTACCTGGAATACTGCTGGAGAGGGGAGTAGAGGTGTGAGGTGGTAACCGGACGCGGATGTGGAGTCAACGGAGGGGTTTGTTTCGTTGTGTAGGGGAGAGGGGTAGCTGTTTGTGTGTTTAAGAGAAAAGATACTATAGTATCTTGGTAGAAATGATCCCGCAGAGAGTGAGAGATTGAGGAGTCAGGAAGGGAGATATCTGCATTCATGGTGAGAGGGATGAAATTTATTCAACTGACAAACATTTATTGAGCACCTATTAGGTGTTCTTTGTTCTTATGAGGTTCACAGTCCAATGCAGGAGAAAGTAATACAAATAATTAAGCAGCAAAACGATCCAACAGAGGTATATACAAAGTATTACTGTACTATGATATATAAAAAATGTTATTATGCTATGATAGATTGGGGTGGGGGGGAGGTACTGATGCCACCAAAATGGCTGATTAACTTATTTGAAGTATTCATATATTTTGGGTAAATATTTTTAAACAATTGTTTCCAATTCTACTTTTCATTAGACAAAAACTTTTATTTTTATGCTTCTAAAGAATTGCACAAAGACAAAAATGACATTTAGTCTAAGATTGAGCAAACCCAGTTTTCGTAGTTAATAAAAAAAAATTATGTTATCAGAGATAATAGTTCAGCCTCTAATAATTTTTGAAAGTCCTCCTCACTGTTTAAAATTTTTCCCAAATGCTACATGAGTGAGTTCACAAATAATTTGTCTATTCTGTAATGTTAAGTAACCGCAGGCTCTACATTTGGAAGGACTGCTCCAGGAGCCAGGGTGGGTTCACAGGGACCAGTGCCATCTTATCAAGGTCAGTCACCCTGTGTGTGATCAAAGCCTGACTCACCCTGTGAGTGTCCTGCTCTGGCCAACCAGGCAAACCAGTCAAGCACAATGTATGACATGAGCAAACATTTTATTCCAAAGACATGTACATATTTTCATCATGATTCATTTCAAAAAATGAGACTTTTGTGATGCTTTAAGAACACGAACTGCATGAAGTAAAGGTTTGCTGTTCTCAAAAACCACAATTTCTGATATTTTTAAAAACCATACAGTAATTCTAAAACAAAAACACTTACCTCTAGAACTAGTACTAATGATCCAAACAACAGATCTTGGATTCTCAAAATAAAACAATTGCTGGGTTAATAGTTTCCCCTTAGACACCTTGACCTAAGTTTCCTTCTTACGACACCAACCTGTTGAGCTGCGTCTCCATTCACCAAGTGAGGCATCATGGCTACCTCTCCGTTCAGCAATGGTGGCAACTCCAGAGGGATTTGGTCGGTCATCATCATTGTGACGTACATTCATGGAGAACTTCCCTCAACTGGCTCCCTGCAAAAGAACCGCCATTTTTAAAAACAGAACTCAGGACCACAAACAGTCACCTATAACAACAATTTAGTGCTCCATCTGGAGGTCAGCTGAAACTCGGGGTGTTCTACCATACTGTGGTAGCATTCTGTCAGGCCCCACGAGGGTCAAAGCACGAGGAAGAGCCTGAACTAGGAGACCATGCCTTGAGTCTCCAAGCAGCCATGCAAACCCAACCTCTCCCATGCCTGGACTTGGTCATTTAGTTTTAAATTTTTTAAATATATGAAGAATAGTAACTACCCGACCACAGGGATCTTTCTGAGGATAGATAATATTTTGAGAAAGTGTCAAACAAAAATTAGTGTTATCATCCTTAAAGTAATTACAGAAAATAAAGTCAAAGAGAATGACCTATAAAAGCAGTTTTTCCCTTTTATTAGGATCAAAATGAGTTGTTAATCCAAGCAAGTAAACAACGGTTAACTACCTATACTATAAGGATTGCAATTTCTGACCTTGCCATTAATTTGGTAATAATCGTGTTCTAATTATCTCTCTCCCGTCATTTTCTTGGATGGAATTTACCTGTTGTATATTTACATCTTTATTACTCGTGTACTTCTAGAGCTTCCCTGTATCTCAGAGAGCACCCACAGCCCCAATGGCCCCACGTGAAGAATAGGGCTGAAAGGCGGATTCCATTGTTTCCACACAATAAATGACTTTCATACAAGTATTCAAAACAACACAAAGCCCACTTTTGTTCCATAATAGTACTTGGCCACCAATACCTAACTTTTGAATACAACAACAGGAAAATAACAATAAATTCCTATTTAAAATTATAACTTATTTTTGAGGAAGTATTTACATATCCTTCCCTTGTGTCTAAAATTTATGACACCAAAGTTTAATAGCATAGACAAAAAAAAATACACAAATAAATGCACATACGCACACTATTTTAAGTCAATTCAAAAACCAACTGCCAGGTAATTCAGTGAGATTTTTTTATCATTCATAATGAAGTCTCACAACATTTCAAATTCAAGGGTGTTCGGTCAATGAACCCTTATAATACTCAATATCCAAATCAGGCAAAACAGTGAGGCAAATCCTTTAGTGACCGTCTCAAATTTGTCTCACACAAGTGTGATAGAAATACAATATTTCTTCTCATTCGTAACCACCTCCATTCTGAACACTAAATATACTTCCCACCCCCAATGCCAATGAAGAGAAATGCCTTCCCTGGAAGTATCGAATGATGCATAAAAGCCACCCAAGAGATCGTAAACTTTTTTATTTTGAATAGGTAAAATTTTACACTATTTATTATAACCCCATTTGGAGAAACTAATTATTTTAAGCACCAAACAACGAAGTCTTTTTCCAACTAGGGAAGCACATTCTATAATAACAGGTCTTATAATTCAGTGTTAATAGTACCATCATGCTGTTTTATGAGGCAATTACTCAGTTCCTAAGCAAATAAAATTATAAAACCCAAAGCCCAATAGTTTATCCTGATGTAGGAAACTGATTCTTCCACAATGAAACCAACTACGACAAGTCCATTGACATCGTCATGGCATCACTCTGATTCAGAGTTGGTCAGATGATGGCGCAGCGACGTCCATTTCAATTGTATTTCGAATGTACTGTATCCTACTAGTGCATGGGGCAAGAATGACTACATCTCCTCAGACTGATGAAATGACAAAGGCCCATTTCTCAAGTATTACATTTAATGTTTTTTTCAAAATTGTAGGCTGAATAAAACAGGACAGTAGTTTACATGAGGGGCCTGAGAGGTGAAGGCATTCCATGCTCACTCACTCCCACCTTTTCCTCACTCCTCCCCAAGGAGGGGTTTGAAGGCACTTGCTGGTGAGGCTATGGTGCAGATGGCGGGTCTGTCTTCTCTCCCTTCTCCTCTGCTAACGTTGTGAGTGCCAGAGCCCTCATCCACGTGGGACAGTCCTGGTATCTTACAAACAAGCCTAAGGATAGAAGCTGCTCTCCCTTTTTTCACTCAGTAAAAAGCAGCAGAAGTAAACTGACTGCAGGGCCTGCCCCTAGGTCCTTACAGCCTCTAGGTCCTTCCATTAGGCCAGAGACCAATAAATAATGATACAAGTTTGGAGGTGGGGGTGGGGGTGAGGGTGGGTAGGGTGGGATGGAGGTCCTTAGTCAGAACTTGCTTTCAGATGAAGCTATTTAGGCTCCACATGGTCCAAAACAGCTAACTGAAGTTTTCAATATCGGGGTTTGAGATTCAAATTCAATTAACAATGCTATTTTGTTCCAACTTCTCGTTGTTTCTTGGTGGGGAGGGGGGAACCACAGGTGCTGGGCAGGAAGAGATAACTGCGGTGTGGTATATAATTCAAGCATTCCTGGTCCCCTGTCCCTAATAACAAAGAACATCTCAACACCAACATTATGTCTAACACTGACAGTTCCAATTTTTAAAACCTCCTCGTTGGCACCCTGTTACACAATGGCACTTGCTATTAACAAGACAGAGCAATCCAGCCCCCTAAGGAACACTCTGAAGGACAGGTGTCAAGTCCAAATTAGGGAGTTAAATTCCAGGTTCTGCAAACGTAGTACAAGAGCATAGGCCCCTACACACCCACAAAGGTCTTACAGATGTAGGAGGGCTGAGTAGAGACCTACACGAAGTGGCAAAAATCCCCAAAGAAACCCTGTCCACTGGTGGTACAAAGAGATAACTATATTTGCTTTTAAAAGCTATACAGGCAACTTTGGGTAATGCAGTTATGCCATAAAGAAAAAGATGCCTGAATCCTTTTTTTGGTTTGTTTTTTCCTCCTAGATGATGGTTATCTATCTCACAGATATGCAGAAGTTATTGCAGATTCCTGGGAGGTGACCAAGGGAGGGAAAGCCACGAGGAATTGTACATTTTTAAAAAGTCAACTGGATGTGTCACTCCTTAGACAGCATATAATGGGAACTTACAAACATCATACACTGCTAATGACTCAACTCAACCCCTCAACCCCCGTACCCTTTCATCACGGAGAAAAATGGAAGAACGAATGAAGTGAATAGAAGCCACTGTGAATCCTGCCACGAGCCCCACTTTTCATAACCGAAGCTGTTGGTCCTCTCTTCCCTACGCCACCAGCTTGCTAAAATCCAAGGCTTGTTTTCTAAGCCCTCAGAGTTTCACCACAGGTAAAGCAGATTTTATCCTGACTGAAAGGCCAGGTAACAGATTCATCAAGATGGGGTGGTTCGCACAGCCGACGATGTTCAAATACCCATTTCTACACTCCACACATATGCACGGGATACTTTCATTGGCCTAGAATGCAAGGGACCTGTGGAGAGAAGAACAAACTATCTCTAGGCAAGATAATGCTCGGCTATTAACCAGACAATGACTGCCAACCTGTTCTTTAATTATCATGAAACAGAAACAATTCAGTGACATGGAATGTAGAAAGGACAAGGGAAAAAGGAACAATTATGAAAGAATGAAAAGCCATAGATGCAAAACATAAAATTTAGGATACATAGTGGTGTCTTTCTGGTTATTTCCTAGTGATGGGATGGGGGTGGGGGAAGTATTTTTCCCCAATGCAAATGGAAAGTCAAATATTCAGATTGTAAATCGGGAAAACCACTCTAAACTCAGATTGACAGTTAAAGAAGGTTAAGTCAGACCAGGAGACTGGGGGGGGGGGGGGGCCTTGCCATGCATCAGTAATTCAATAGTGACAGCTCCCGAAAAAGCGCATCTTGGTTTTGACTGGTAACCCAAATAAAACTACACATGACTCACTGAACAGGTAGGCCTCAACCCCACTGCTTTGAGGAGACCTAGGGAATGTGACACACTGACAGAGCTGACAAAACTTTTTAAATGAAATTAAAAGATGAAGCAATCAATGTGGAAGGCCTACTATCCAAACACTTGGCTCTCAGGACCAAAACTTGCTTCACTTGCAATGACTGTGGATGGAAATTACACATTGTCTTACTTCATCATAGACCAAGCTGGCCAAAAATGCATTGTTTTCTTCGGGATGTAGTAGGGTCATTGTTTACAACAATATGTTCAGTCCTGAGGTGAGGTACTAAGGAGTTACTGAAGTGTTGTGACCTTACATATTCAGAGAAATCTACCCCTCATTTGAGTTCTTAGGTTTAATTTGTATGTTTTTTTCTCTCTCTCTTCCTTATTAGGCAGCGCCACAAAGCCCGCCCTCTCAAATCTGAGGGCCAGATCCTGAGTTTGCTGTCTTACATCTTCCTTGGGCTGGGAAGCCAGGCTGTAAGTAGAGGAAGAGTCTCTGTGGGGTTCCACCAGCTCCCCATGGGCCTCGCACAGCCTCCCCGACCACCTGAATTGTCAGCCCAGAGGGAAGCTGAGGGGGCCACATTGTGATTTCTGGACTACTGAGCTGTAACTGTTTTTCTTTTCAGTCAGAAAGTCTCTTGAGAAACCATGCTGGAAAAAAAACACTCATTTTCCTGGTTTGGGGTCCTTCTTCCCTGGACAGATGTGTATCTGAGCTGGCCAAATCTATCACAGAACTCATGTGTTTTATTGAAGGCAATACCACAGCCACAGCATGGCCCTCACACAACACAGCTCTTACAATGAATGAATCCATTCTTCAAACCACTACACGTTACACATGAAGAACAAATGTACTATGAAACTAATCGGAACAAATATAAAATAGATTATCTCTACTACAAGGCCTTTTTCCAATCCTCTGAACTCACTCTTTTTTTCACACAGAGCTCCACAATTTCACTCCTATTCTTTTATTTTTTTCTTAACCATACTCCCATTTCAAAGAATTTGGTAACAACCACAGGGCCCTCACAACCTCTCCCCCTAACCACACATCCTAACACTAAAACCACAAGTGCTTCATGCATAGCTAGTCCTGCTCTTCAGACTGACAGGGCAAGGATGCCACATGAGCATTTGTGGTTACCCGCCGCCCCCACCCCCAAGAGAGCCCGTCATT